TTCTTCTTCTTCTTCTTCTTCTTCTTCTTCTTCTTCTTCTTCTTCTTCTTCTTCTTCTTCTTCTTCTTCTTCTTCTTCTTCTTCTTCTTCTTCTTCTCCTTCTCCTCCTCCTCCTCCTCCTCCTCTTCTCCTCTTCTCCTCTTCCTCCTCCTCCTCCTCTCTCTATTTCTCTCTTTCTCTCTCTCTCCCCCCTCTCTCTTTCTCTCTCTCTCTCTCAAAATAAATTATTCCTAATAACATCCTAGCTACCTTTCAGGATCTTATCATCTGAACCAACATGACTAGGTAATGAGTATCTCTCTAATACAGGTTTTTCACAGTCATAATTTTTCCCCGGCAGAGCTCTGGCAAAATGGAAACATTTTGTTGTCATAACCTAAATTGGGAGGGAAGGAATCACTTTTTTCTTTCCTTTTTTTTGTTTTAGAGAGGAAAACAGATAAACATAAGAGAGAATCTTACTAGCATTTAACCAGATATAGGCCAACATAAACTGAAGCTGCACTGGTAAAGTGCCCTTGGACCTACATAGCAGTCTTCAGCAATGCTTTGGATTTTAGTCATAGCAAATAAGTAGCACACACAACATGTCAACTTTGTAAGAAATTCTGCTTGCTCGAAAGAAAATGTCTCCACAGCTTGGCCCAGGCTCCAATAACAATCATAGAAACCTCCAACAGATTTCCTGGATCGATTATAATAGCAAAGCTCATAGTTTTCCTTTATCACTGTTTGCTTGGTTATCATTAAATTAGATACAGCTGTAGGTAGGCACACAGAACTCCAGTTCCCCGTTATTCCTGGTTACCTGGGTGGACAATCCTTTTCATAGCACTTCTTCTGTCTCCCATTAGGCTGAGTTTCCGGGTTACAGAATGTAGCTTTCACCATCCCTTGGCCCTTCTTCACACAATGAGCAGTCTGGCGACGGATGCCTGGGTTTAAACAGAAAGATCCACATACTGAATCCTGAGCCCAAATGTTCACTGTGAGGTGAGACACCTGATCATTTAAGTGATCATGCTTACAGTGCAAAAGTTGTCCCAATGTTATTTGCTTTTTTTAAAAAAGCAGACCTTTTATTTTTAGCAATCTTCTTGCTGCACTTGGCAATGAGTGGAAAAGATCTCTTTAAGGAAAGACTGCACATAACGCAATTAGATTATCCCACATTTGACACCAAGGAAACACAGGTAGATTATTATCTATGAAATACATTGCAATCTAGCCATGGAGACAAGTCTAATACACATAGGCCAGACAGGAAATAAAGTGAGATTTAAATAAAGAAATCAGATGTTGTCAGCAGGAGTACCACATTACTAGCTTAACAAAACAATAAGGAGGTAGAGACCTTTAGATTAGTTTGGAGTGGTAAATTCAGAAAAGTGGTAATGAAATTCAAGATAATGTTGGTGCAAAGATATAATTTTTTAAAAGAATCATGAGGTTTTCCTAGCAAAAATCAATAATGCTATTATCTTTGAAGACCAGGTAGATAATGTAAGGGGGGCACATGGGGAGTGGCAGAATCTACCAGTAGACAAATTCATGTCCCAGGCACTGTTCTAACTCTGTGTGTGTGTGTGTGTGTGCGCGTGCATTAATATACTATCCAGTTAATGTTCTACCTATTATCTATTATGATACATAATATCCAAAACCTCAGAACAACTTAATAGGGTCAACAGAGTCATTATTGCTATCTGACAGATGAGGAAACTGAGGCAAGTGAATGCATATGGGCTGAGAAAAGGAAAGGACCACTAGCCTGGCTGACTGGGACACTGCTGGCAAGAGAACTTGTAGGTGTGCCAGGATGTTATGTTTGTTTTGTTTTTTTTTGTTTTGGTTTTTCTCTGGTACCGGGAACCGAACTCACGACCTTGCGCTTGCCAGGCAGGCGCTTTTGCCGCTGAGCTAAATCCCCAGCCCCTCGCCAGGATGTTATGAATGGAGAGGTGAAAGGGCAGGGAGGAAGAGAGTCAGTGTCTCTCTTCAAAGGTCTAGGGCTGTAATGTTAAATGGGAAATACTAAGTAAGATACTGAAGACTGAGAGCAACAGTTTGTACACCCTGAGCTTAAGAGTATCTTTTTTTGTGGTGCTGGAGACTGAATAAAGGATGTTGTGCATGCTAAGCAAGCACTCTGCCACTGAGCCACACCACAGTCCTGATAGCCAAGTGTTGAGCAGGCTTCCTGGTGTACAAAGCATCACAACTGGAAAGGCCCCGAGCAACCCAATAAGCTGGTCACCTCCTCATTCTATTGTCAAATACACTGAAGGGCTTACTGCAGGAGCACAGCTGGCAGGACCCGACTGGAGCGAGCTTTCCTACTACCTTCAGTTGCACACTGCCTCAGCAAGTACTTGTTCAGCTGAAACCCTCAGGCATAGTGCAACACCCAAATACTAAAGGGTGGCTCATCTTTTAAACCATAAAAGCAGTTGCAAAGCAGTAAAGCAGTGTCTTATCCTTTTCTCATTGCTGAGACAAAATACTTGACACCTGCAACTTAAAGGAGGAGCAGTTTATTTTGGCCACAGTTACAATCCCCCTGACTTCAGGGCAGAAATGGCATTGCAGAGGGGCACAGTGGGGGTAAGTTGCTTACCTCATGGTGACCAGGAAGCAACGAGAGAAAGGAGGAGCCAGAGAAGGAGATACACCCTTCTAGGTCAGGCCCTTAGTGATGGACCTCTAACCAAGCCCTATCTCCTAACAGCAAGTCAGCTGTCACACTTCCACAATCTAATGATCTTCTAAAAGCCCTGCCTATGAGTACAATAAGATCTGTGGAAGACATTCTTGATCTAAGTCACAACAATCAGTCTCCTACAATTTCAACCTTTTAGCTGTTCTCAACTAGTAATAAATGTCAGTAGAATCAAGACTGGAACAATTGGTACCAAAAAGCTGACAGGTAGCTGCTATTGTACACTGGGAAAAAGAAAAAGTCTAGCTGCTTAGAAGTTTCATTCAAGTTTTGGGTAGTTTGGGAAATTATTGTCAAAATGTAGAAGGAGACTCTCAGGTGACTTGAAGAGGCAGGAAACGTGCCCAAAGAGCTTGTTTCTCGAATGAATAGCAATGACAAACACGCCCAGTGCTCCCTACTTCAGAAACAATAGAAGGGCACAAACCCATACTTAAAATTCCTTTCAGAAAGTCAGCAACACTTCATGGGACAACATTCTGGACCAACAGTGAAATGACCAGATGGATTGGCCAGGCAGATTTAATTTAGTGCTAAATGGAAAATTAATAACTACTTGTCAAAATTTCTTTGACAATAATGACTATAATGACTTTGACAGTAATGTTTTTGGTGACCAGTAATCATTTTATCCATCTAATCCTTCTGGTTCCTTGCAGTGGAATCAGGATAAGCCTAAATCTTCCAACAAATGAGGTTCCAGCCCACTTAATGGACTTCTTTGATGATATAGAAGAGCAATACCTGGCCAAGTGCTTTTCCCCAATTCTGCTGTTTCAGCATTCATTTAGTGAAACTCAACCTATAATTCCATTCCTGGTTAATTTCTGGTTAAATAAATGCATGAGTAAATACAATAAAACCAATAAGTCAAATCCAAAGGTTCTGGGTTCTAGTTCCTACTTTCCTTCTACATATCACTTGGGATACTCTGCAGGAAAATGAGAATGATCATATTCCAGCTATTTGGGAGCAGGAAACTGAGCTAGTGGGTCTCAAATTTTATTTTATTTTATTTTTTATGGAGAGCACACACTGTGATTTTAATTACAGGTGCAAAGACAGCACATCCGATGAGGAAATACAGCACCGTGCCAGCTTTAAAAACCCAACGTTTTACATTCCAGTACACAAACTAGGGAGAAGAGTTCAGATACCAAACCAGCCTTCAAGTGGGTCTGGACACAGTTCTGTGTGAGGAACAGAGTAAAGGCAGCACTCTCTTGCGCTTCTTTTATGCTAAGTGTAAGTTTGCAGGGCCCACGCTGCAGGGCCCATGCTGCAGGGCTGATCTCACTGGGGAGTGATCCAGGGCCTCTGGGATCTGTGTGCCATCACCCCATCCACACCACGCGGAACTGTCCCAGTGCAGGTGGCAGACTACATGGTGTTTGTGGGAAAAGCTGGGGAATGTCTACATGAAAAAATCAGTGTAGCGATGAATACAATCTACCCATTCATAAGTGAGCTTTGGTCTGGGTGGGGAGCTTAGCCCAGTAGTTAATATCCACTGCAGTGTGACTCAGGGACAGATCCTCACATTACGAAAATGAACAATTGATTTTAGGTTGCCAAGTGACCATGAATAAATATTTCTGGTAATAAAACCTATATTCAATTAAGAGCATTTAAAAAATGAAGATTCTGGTTAATATAATTTTATGGTTCACTAGAAAATAGCTTTTTGGAACTGTGGTCTGAATATTTTAAAATTATATTAGTTCACAGAGTTCATATTGACTTAGCGAATGTGCATATAGCAGCTTATACTTTCCCATTGTGACAGTAATCTCCTACTTTGCATACTTTTGTATTATGTGAATTGGACACCCATCCAATCAGACATGGAGCCTAATTTCAATTAGTCATGGAACAAACGCAGAAATGAAACTTTAACCCCAGATCAGAAAATGCCACGGAGCAGAGTGTCCTCTGTCTGGTTCTTTTGTACCCTTGACTCTCAGGATACTCTAGCCACCATGGTGTAAGAAGGCCATGCCCTTAGGAAGATCACGTATAGGTGCTTGGGTGGGCAGTCCTAGATGTCCAGTCATGTGAGGGAAGGAACCTCCAGTCAGCTCCAGTCCTCAGGCATTTGAGCCACTCCCACTGAAGACACCCCAGCTGAGACTTCCTAGCTGAGGTATAGAACACAGTGGAGCAGAGAGACGCCAACTCCAGTATGTCCTGTCTAAATTCTGTGAGTATGACAAAGTGTTGGCTGCTTCACTGTGAAAAATTTGGGGTGATTTGTTACACAGCAGTGATAATAGGAAAAATATCCAATACATGTTAACTTTTTTCCTTTTCCAGACACTATCCAGAGCAGCAATCCAGCTTGGCTTGCTAAAATTTACCTGCTATTGATTTTATTAATATTTCATGTCCTCTCTTGTGCTACAGTTCTGCTTCCCTCCAGATATACTTGGTACATTTTCTCACCTTGCTCTGAACCTTGGGGAGATAATTATGATTACTGTGGTTTACTGGAGGTTTGAGAAATGAAACACTACCTCTTTTTTTAATTGTTCCATCCCCTTAATTCTTCAGGTCAAGGAATGGTAGGCTTGTTCCTTTCTCCCTCCATAGTAAATGGCAAAAACTATTAATTACCTTTCTTGGTTTCCCTAAATCCTACCCAAACCTGTGAAAGCAGCAGAGGTTGTCAGTTTAAGTGTCTCAACTCTCTCCTGCTGTGGTCCCTAGATATGGTCTCCTTTACAGTAAAAAATGCAAATTAGTAATATTCAGTGACATTCGTGTTAGTTAATTCTGAAAACCAATTGCTGTAATAAAAGAATCTTTCTTTAACATATGATATTACAATACCTCTTAAGGATGGGGTTAGAACAGTTATCATTATAAAATGCTACAAACACAGAAAGCATTAAAGATTAGGCTGAACCTGTGTGACCTTGAGCTTGCGCTGGAAATTAAACAAAGACAAGTGATATTAACTTTCCATTTAGCTTTCCACTTGTCTCTTTTCTGTGCAGACTGCGCACAGCCTCAAAAGAAATATTGTTTAATTAAGAATGTCAGGCAATTAATATGCTGGCACAGCGTTAAGCTCACTGCTTATCTGGAAGTACTTACTTGAAAAGATAGTAGAGATCAATAACACTGAAAAATACATAAGAATCAAATTAAAAATTTCTGAAATATTCTGAGTCCCTTTCTCTAATGAGCAGTGAGTATATTGTTCTACTGTTGTAA